TAAAGTTCATGCAATAAATCACGTGTCAAACTCGAGGCCCACGGGCCACAACAGGCCCGCCGTACAATGATATTAGGCCTACAAGGTCTTGACCGGCGTACAGTTATATCAAAGTAAACGCTGTGGGGTTTCCAAATGCACATTTTGCTGAAAAAAGTAGCGTACTTTGCGCCGAGTTCACACAGCGCTTCAGTGACTATGAAGCACAGACATGTCATTTCGAGATGTTTCGTAACCCATTTGTCACAGACTTGGAAACTGCACCTGTAAATTTGCAAATATTGCTAATAGAGTTGCAGTGTAATGAGACACTAAAGGCAAAGTACAAAACAGTTTGGCCCTGCACAGTTAACTCATTTCATTCCTGAAGAGATGCCCCAGCTTCGGCTACATGTGTTTCAAACCTTGAGCATGTAGGTATGCTTATATATGTGTGAGCAGCTGTTTTCTGTGATGAGGATTAACAAAGCATCTCACAAGAGTCGTCTCACTGATGAACACGTGCAGTCCATCGTGAGAATCTCAATGACACAGAACGTTACGTCCAACATAAACGAACTTACTTGTCTTTGTAGCCAAGAAAATTTGCCAGCTTTGACAAGTTGGCATAAGAACGAAAATGGTATTACAATGATATTTAAGAAACTCTTTTTCTGCTTTCAATTACATGAATATTACTTTTTTTAACGATTCATTTTGCGCTTATTGAATGCTTGTCTTGTTCGGCTCGCCACCTTACATGTGATTAGAGTTGTGGCCCGCTGAACGATTGAGTTTGACACCTCTGCTCTAAATTAATAAGTGGTGTTCATACTGATAATAAAATGTTAGCCCACAATCCACTTTAAAAAAAAAACAATTTCCACCGTTCACATAGTTATTTTAAATTATCTATCTACTAAAATTTCTGAAGATTTTGAAACTATTTTCTTGAAACATTTTTTTATTAGTATTAAAAAGGGTAATAATCACGATGGCGATTTGTGGCCCATTTCAGCTAATAATATGTATAATTTCTAATTTATATATAATTTAAGTTTTCTGGGAACTTGAAGGTGCAACGGTCAAAGCAGGTCTTGAGGTAAATCAAGTATGGACAACATATATATAATGTCGCGACACACACACGCTGATGACTACACAAATATAGCAAAAATACACATTTTAGACATTGGCTAATTTCAAATATTTAGAGGCGACTATAAATAAGCACAGTCAAATAATATCGGATTTGAAAGAAAGGTTAACAGCCGGAACCCGTTCATATCTCAGCCTATTGGGAAGCAAATACATCTCAGGGGGAACAAAGAAGACAATATACACCACGATTATAAGACAAGAAGTAAATTACGCCAATGATATTTGAAAAAAAGACTTACCTGAAAAGTAGAGAATCTGCTCAATACATTGGAGAGGAAAACCACCAGGAAACTCTATGGCCCAGTGATATACAATAATGTTAGGACAATCCGTTCCAACCAAGATACAAATCAATTGTACAAAGACTCACCCTTAGCCAAACCAAAAATAAAAAAAAGGAATTCTGCGCTGCACAGGACGCATGGAAAGGACGTCGGATTCTAGAGCAACAAAAGTGATTAGCAAACAGGAATCTAGGGGCAAGGTAGCTCACAGGCCGACCAAGACTAAGATTGATCGACTTTGTAGAGAAGGACTTACACCAGCTTGGTATTAGTGCATGGAGACGGAAAGTCATGGATCGCTCCGAAAGAAATTATGTGGTATAGCAGGCCAGGGCCTTACATTGGTTATAGCGCCAATGATGATAGGAGATTTAATTACAAAACATTGAGTATGCAAGATCATCTTAGCTTAAAGTTAAAGCCATATAATAATGGAATACTAATCATATTTTGTATGTTAATGTAATGTTTACTTACAATAGAATAAATAGTATATTAAATTAATTGTTTTACAATAGATTAAGTATTTAATTACTATAATTTTATTTATTTTTTTCAAATTAATAATAATTACAGATGTAAATGTTATTTTATCAATCTTCTTTCATTGGGCGCTTACGGAAGCCCTATTATCATGTATCGCAATTTGTGTACATATATATTGCGATGTGGACGAGGTGTTTACGTCATATTCCCCGCGTGCTGTGACCTCTAACATACGCTGCGTTAGTGTTAGGCGTGGCTTATTCCCTTTGATTTTGCTTACCAACAAATCAATCGATCGTCTGTTTTTCTTGACTTGAAATCGCTAGTAAATTATAGAATGTTGAGTCACAAATACAATGCGTAACATGCATGGTACTTTTCTGTAGAACAGAATATAAAAGCAGAGAGAGCATTATTTATGGGAGGATAAGATATTTTCTTTACGGGACTACAGGCTAGCATTTATTTTTAAAGAGTCTTTTTCTTGATCGAGCTGTGTTTACTTATATATTTGAATTCCTTTCATCGTTGTACTTTTGTTTTGGACATTGTAATTTGCATCCACTTTTGTACCGGTACAAGAAACACAATACTCTGTAAGGTTCTGTAATGTAATGATTTTAATTATATTTCTTTTATTTTGTAGTTTATTAAGTAACTTAATAAAACTTATTAATTGCAGTAAGCACTGTTTTCAGTGTCTTATTCTCTGTTATTGTTTTATCATTTCGTGTCGTCTTGTTATGCACTGTTTTGGAACGAGGCCTTAAATGTAAATAGGAGATTAATTTCTCCCTACGGTTAGCAGTGCGTAACAATATATATATAAATAAATAAATATATATTTATATATATATATATATATATAATTCAAATTTCTTCTCTGCACAACTCACTTACAAATTGTTTACGAATGTCGACATTTGTGATCGATCGCCTAGTTTACCCGAGCCACTCGTTTCCCTACTTCAAAAATATTACGGCAAAATGACGATTTAATTTAAACTTTACAATTATCCATTTCTTCAGTACGGCAGAGGTTACCCTTAGATTTATCAATCTAGAAAATGTTTATATGGTTGTCCATATTATATACATGTAATTAAGACAGTTATCATAAAAGGGAAATATTAACAACGATACTGAAAAAATATAGGTGGGGGGGGGGGGGGGAAATTTTATATATATATATATATATATATATATATATATATATATATATTTTCATCAACTTTTCTTCGTATAGCATGGATCGGTGCGACTGATTATGCGATTGAAGGACACTATTTCTGGATACAAAATAACCAGCTGGCCAATAACGATTTAAAGCCGTTATGGGATCCGAGAGAGCCGAATAATGAAAACCACAATTCAAGAGAAGATGAAGATTGTTTAAGTTTATACGCTAACTGCAAGGTGAACGACGCCCCATGCAGCTTTAAGTGTCCTTACATCTGTATGGATACGATGAAATGTAAGGTTTTGTAAAATAAAAGTTTACATTGTTTTCTTTTCAACAATATATATGGATATTATCCGGAAGAAACAACTAGGGGATTTTGATCTTTAAAATATTTCCCTATTGGCCCGGGCAGAAGAATTCGTTTTTTTTTTCCTTCTAAAATGAGCGGTATACATTATATTACCGACAAATACAACTAAATGAAATGATGGATCATTAATAACTTACTACACATACACTTGATAATCCATGTTAAAATACAGAAAGGTACTAATCTCATAATATTCATTCTTATGGTGATTGAGCCGCATTTCCCATTTCATAATATAAGCTATATAAAGATCAAAATACTTGGACAACGCTTTAGATAAATCATGAATTAATGGATATAGGAATAGCCTTGTAGCAATTCAATTCATAGTCCATTCTTAAATTTGGATTTAAAATAAAAATATTTAATCCATTCAGGGACGCTCAAGACTTTTCCAGAAAATTCGATTATTTAAAACGCTATATCTATGGCAATTTTTAACTGATTTTAATGGTACAACTTTTAGAAATTAAATTTATTCTTTATATGACAGATTTTATTGGGCGAAACTAAATCAGTATATTTATGGAATTGGGTCCTATCGGAATCGGGATCCCATCGGGATGGGGATTCCACCAAGAAACAGATTCCAACTGGAATCAGGAAACCCACCGTGATCGGAATTCCACCGGTAAAGCGATCCCATCGGAACTGGGATGCAGAAATGGTTGGGAGCCCACAAAGATCAGGAACCCATAAGAATCGATACCAAACGGATTAGGATCCCACCAGGAAACCCGTGCCAAAAAAAGGGATCCGAACGAGATCCTATCGGTAAACGAAAGTTTAACAAACATTATTTTAAATGTATTTTAATAGGAGACGAATTAATTATTAGTATAATTTTACTATAGCATTTATTTTTACATAGTGCTTTAATTTAATGTTAATGATAAGGCTGTAGAAGTTCCTTTTTTTTTGTTTCATACTATCAAAATCAGCATATGGCACCCTTCCGTCTTCACAAGTTATGGGCACCTCATCCATTTGCTTACGAGGCCGTTCTCAAAATGCTAGTCTCGGCTGTACATTTCTCAGGAAAAATTACACTCCTGATTTAATGTGCCTTTAAGTATTGCTCTTTGTGCTACAAGAACTTCGTTTCGCACGTATTCTGCCCTTTTGAATCATTCATACACTAAGTTTCGCCATGTGGAAAGCTACTCAGCGAAAATTTCTGATTTGCTGATTTCTATGTCGGCCTCTTTCATTTACCTTTTACAAAGGTCCATAAATCACAGCCTTGGTAGTTAAATAAGGCTTGCTGCTTACGACGATTCTCAAAACATCAGACTCTTTTGAATACATACTTCTTCCATACCCTTACATGACCTAACCATTGGCGGCGCCTCTTACTAAAAGAGGGAACATGCTACAAATTATGGCAGGTTCCAAAACCTCTTTCGTAGGCACTTTGTCCTGCGATCGAAATCGCAAAATGCTTTCAAGACCATACAAGCCATCATATTCTTATTATTACTTTTCAGCGACGGGATTGTATTCATTGCAAATACACTGTCCCGACTGTAAGTTTTGATACAAATGCAGATACATGTGTCGATGCGCTTTTAATATCGCAAGCGACAAGATTACTGGCTTGTGCTTTAGTGGCCTGTGTAAGGTCAGTTACTGGGGCCATGGATGTCAGTTAGGTGAGTCTTTTCATTTTATTTAAAACTGTAATTTACGATTTCCAGATAACACAGTAGAATAACGTTAACGTATGAACTCAGCAAATGTTAAATAAAATAATTACATGTAAATTTCCGAAAGCATTGTTTAAAAAAAAAATACATACATTTGAAAAACTAACACCAACATGAAACATAATCCCGTTTACTTAAAGATGACAAGTGTTTCTATAACCAGCAACCTAAAAAGTACATGGGAATGCAGAGCTCTACTAAAAGTAATATTTCAGCACTGGAATACAAAAACTCCTCACGATCAGGCGTACGCTGTGGACTATTTTCTCGACCGCAGACTGCCCAACAACTACTGCAGAGCGACGCCAGACACGGTCGAGCCTTGGTGTTATACAACATCAAGAAAAATTAGATGGCAATATTGCCCCGTTGAAGAATGTGGTAATTTCTTGAAAACTTTAATCTTTAGTTAAATATGTTATTTGATTTTAAATACAAAATAATCTAAAAAAATAGTACCAATTATTCATTACGGGAATCCTATGGCCTACTTATTGAAAACATTACAACTGTGAATGTACACGCTTCTTCTTCTAAATCACAAGATTTGCAACAATTTTTGCATGAGATATTTACAATTTATTTACAATATAATTTTATGGAATCAATAAAATACTGCAGCAGTAGAAATTCTCAAATATTCTTTATTTATGCTTTCATTCATTGTTTTTTCAAACGCTTATATTTATATGCTCTTGCACATAAAAAAGTTTTGATGGAAAAAAAAAACAACAATTACTCACAATACATGTAATTTATGACTATGGCTCTCAAATTTCGTAAGCCATAGCGAAGAAAGAAATTAAATTACGTTTATTTTATGATATTATCTATAAGTGTAGCAATGCTTCCCATGCTTTCTTTATCGTGGATCTATAATCTTGATTTGAAAAAAGTAACAGCCGACAGATTCAAAGTTAGTCGATCACCTATTATGGATATTTGATCTCAATTTTTTTAGAAGACATTTCATTTATTTTACTTATTATTTTTCTTATTAACTTTAAAAAAAAAAATATTCATCTTTTATGTTCAATAGCTTGTCCCCTGGGTAGGTATGATGTATACTGTAGTAAAGATTGCCATTGTAAGGACTCTAATGAACAGTGCAATGAAGTAACAGGAGAATGTAAATCTGGTTGTGCCATGGGCTGGACAGGAAAAGATTGTCAGACGGGTATTTTTTTCTTTACTTTAAAAAAAAACAAAAAACAATGTATATTCACAGAGATTTTACATTTTCGTTGGTTATTTTAGTTCATTAGAAATATTGAGTGCCACGTCTTGATAGAAAGGGTCTTACACCAGTAAATTTAAACACATTTTTTAGATTTATCAGTGTGTCGAGAAGATTTCTTGAAAGAGGAGACATTTTCTATATCTATTTGACATACCAGCAACACATTTTGAGTGCAACGTTGAAGTTTTAGATTAGGAGCTAATAATAGTTACTTATGGGCCGGCCATGGCGGAGTTTTGTGGCTTTTACATTATCATATTCAGATATTTTGAAAACGAATGTTTGATCGCGTCTTTTGAGGTGTGGGAAGCTAGCACTGGTTAAACTAACCCATATCCCCCTACCACCCAAAAATGTTATATTTGTCCATGTTTATTATTTTAAAAGCATATTGGTAATATTAGTTGTCGATTTCATATAAATACTCAAACATCAATGAAATCGATGCTCTAATTTTGTTTTTCTTTTCATTTGATCGCCAATTCTTGTCAAGTATACCCAGCGCTACTTGATCACTGCGTGATGTTTCCCATATAATTTCATTTGTGATCTTTTCAAACAGTTAATTCTCTTTCGAATAACGATCTAGTTTAAAAAATATGCAATTTATTTTTATTGGTCTTGGATGTCTTTATGAAATGGTCTTCTAATACTAATACGATGTTTTTTTCATTTTTTTTTTTTTTAAAGTCTTTTAAAACATGATCAATTCTAAATATATATTTTTTTTATAATCAGTTATTCCATGTGAACCAAACACGTATGGTTGGGAGTGTGAAAAAAATTGTTATTGTGAGAATCTAAGCCATTGTGAACGATTCCTTGGAGCAACATCACATTGTGTCTGTAAGAAATAAATAAGTGATAAATTTCATTTTGAGAATGTATTTTAATTTTTTTTAAATTATAAACTAAAAGACTTTTCATAAAATTTAATTTTGTAGTTGCCTGCTCCTTTAATTTAAATAATTTTCTTTCTTTGTTTTCTTTTTTTTTTATATATAGTAAAACAAGTATTTTTTTTTTTCGCTTTAAAATATGATTACTTAAAGTAAAGGTTGTTTTTTTTTCATGACGTACACAATAGCTCTTTATAATTGTTAAATTATGTTTGCTACTGCGAAATTATCTTCTGATAAATATTTAGAGTTAATTAAATATTTAAAAAGTCAGCATTTTTGTTTCAATATTTATTCTAAACATAACAAGCTAAAGTCCATAGTCAATAAAAAGATTTTTGTTGTTTGTTTTTGTGTTTATAGTGAGTAAGCCCATGATTGTCCATTTTGAGAACAACTTAGTCCTCCCTGGGCAAGATTCTACATTTACATGTACTGTACAGGCGAAAACACTACCAAAAGATAATGAAATCCAAATGTTTGGACCTCAAGGAAAGAACATAACTTCTCTCTCTTCAAGGATTCTTGAATCATCCACATTAAGAAGAACAAAAATGTTCTATGTAAGTTTCCAGTAATAAACAAAAATAAATGATAAAGACACCTGTATTAAATTAATATTTTTTTTTTAAAAATTCAAAAATTGAAAGATTAGTCTCAATAAAATCATCGATTGCTAGAACAATTCAAAGTAAAAACATACATTATCTCACTGTTGGCGAAAAATAGCAATCAAATTTAGAATTAATTGACATGTAGTCGGGTGTAGTGGCTTGATGCTATGCAAGGCCCTCCCTTTGTGTTTACTTCAAACACTCAAGCAAACATTTCAGGAACCGAAAATTAACTGTCTTGGTTGTTAGTCCTCTGAGAATTAAGAATAAGATCGCTTGAAAATGGCCACATCAAAGAATTAAATTTCAGATGCTTGATTTTTTTCTAAAATTCAACATTTCCCTTGGAAGACCCCACAATATATATATATATATATATATATATATATATATATATATATATATATATATATATATATACACATATCTGTTGCATCCCATGAGAGCCCATATATATTATATATTTAACAATATTTATTTATATATATATATATATATATATATATATATATATATATATATATATATATATATATATATATATATATATATATATATAGATACCCATAGCCGTTGCATCCCATGAGAGCCCATATGCATTATACATTTAACAAGATTTATAACAAAAGTTTTGAACTTTGATTCTATTTATTGTTTTTCCCATCAGGTAACGAGCGTACAAGAAAACGAGCAGTACACGTGTTATGTCCAGTCGAAGTTGGGCTCTAATAATTTAACTCTGGTGGCTGGCTTAATGGGTGGTATGGACATTTTAGATTAAATGCATTTTTTAATTGTTTTTTTTTAAAATGCAGTTTGTTTTAATACATTCTAATAAATCATGAACTAAAAATTCCTTCAACTTAATTTACAACTTAAAAAAAACAAGCAAATAATAACCTCGTATTTATAAGATAAGATAAGATAACATTCTTTTATTGATCCAAATAAATGGAAATGTTTTTTGATTGCATTATTCATGTTCAGCACAAAAATAAAACGATTTGAACACAAGACATTTATAAGAAATTATTTCAAACAGCCATTCAGTGAGTTCTCTTAGCGAAATCTGGGACTTATTAGTTCTCATTCAGAAATGTGACTTCAGAGGAATCACGCCAGTAAATTCGTACAGATTAGGGAACAAAATATTTTTTTTTATATTTTATGTTTGGAGGTGTAAATTAAATACATAAAGTTTCTTTTAAAATCCAAATTTATCTTTTTCATTAAAAATAAACCTACTGGCAATAAAAGTTTTTTTCTGGCAAATTTCTAAAACTTTGTGTCCTGCTATTATTTTAATATCACAGAGCAACATGCATTATCAACATAATAGATTATTGTTCATTAAAAAGCTGCCCCAGAGTGTCCAAAATGAGATCTCAGTATCCTGTAGTGACGATCTTGTCATCATCTCCTGGAAGCCCATGCAGAACACACTTCGAACACACTTCGAAGTCATGATGTACAACAGGACACGGAGTTTAACGTCAGTTGATGCAGGGGATAGAACAGTTATTAGAGCAATTCGAAACTGAACGGCAGGGACCTTAGAGTACCGGTACAACACAAGCGGGCTGTCTAGCTCGGATCAATATATAATATTCATTTAGCAAAAATCAAATAAGTTTTTTTTTCCATTCACCAACATTCTATAACTTCCAAAAATTTCTTTATTTACAGAGAGAAGAAGAAAACAAAAAAAGAGGTAAATAAATAACATATTTGGTCACACTTTAAAAATAGATGCATTAAAATTGTTCCCAACAAAACTACAAAATGTCCCAAAAATACTATATAATTTTCCACACAATAATATACAATTACCTCAAAATACTGCATATTAATATGAGGAATCAATTAGTAAAACCATTTTTACTCAATATGTTTGATATGCGCTATTTGCAGAATGCTTCAGTATGATCAAATGGCACTAAATAGCAGGGGTAAGTACTGGTACATTATAGAAAACAGATTTGCTTACTTCTAATAAAATGTTTAAAGTGCTGAATAATATTCATTTCAATAGGTTTCAGTTTGTTTCTATAAAATGGATAATAATCGTGTGAGCTTAAAATGAAATAAGCAATAGCATGTTTAAATAAAATAAAACCCAAAGCTTTGTAAAATAATTTATGTAGACTCTAACATGTATATTTTGTCTCAAGCTTAAAACATAAAAATTCAGTGTAGTAGGTAGTATTAGAAATTAACCTCACCGTAAAAAAAAGCAAAAAAAAAAAAATCAGTTTGATATTAAAACTTGAAAAGCTAATAATTTACTGAACGAACATTATCTTCCATGTAAACTTATGATTTACTTTACAGAACTGGACGATCATCAGTAGGAGCGTCTTAGTAAGAATGTTGACTCCAAAAGAGCGTCAAAGGATATCTAAAAACGGGAAGCGTCGGGATTGGTTTAAATTTGCATCTTTCAAAAAATACATAACACATAAATAACATTTTTTGGATGATTAAATTACCATTTTTAAAAGTGTGCAGTAAGTCGGTCAAAAATACGATATAAATTACAGAAAAGCTTTCTAGAGGAGACAGGGAGTTGAGCAATGATTCGTATATAAGATGCCTTTAAAAAAATATTTGATACTAACCTATTTATAGTAATATAACATTATCACTTCTTATGCAACGCTGCTAGCGAAAATATCAGCCTTCATTATCGTATTCCCTAACACAAAAATTCTTAAAGTTACACCTACACCGACGCATCTTTTTAAGAAGCAGTGATTCATTTCAAAAAGTGTTTATAACATTGCTTTAAGAAAATTGTGAATGATTCCATATCTTTATCAAACGTATCTAACGAACTTTCATTTTTAGCAACAAAATTTGCATGAGAAAATGAACTAATTTTGTTTATTTCTCTTTTCTGGTAAAGAAAGTGTGCATGCAGTGGCATAGCTTCGGTGTTCATACAAGTCCCTTAGAGATGTTAGTGGTTCATCAGCACTTTTATTAAAAATCGTGTGATAGTGAAATGCGTTATAAATGAATTTAATATCCAAAGATTTGTCCAGATCACTTCCACTTTAAGAGACCGCAATTAGACTAGTCGAGAATGAAGCTTCTTCAAAATATATATACTTTTTTTTTAAGTCGTTGTCTGGGTGAACTATCCTCTGCGCGTTATCTTTCTACGCCACTGAATGTATGGGTGTTATAATAGCTCCATTTGGTCTATATCTGCATTTATTTCTAATAGGATACATTTTTTTTTCTATTAGATTCTATTATTCATACTTATAGCAAATGCAGTGGTTTAGTTTATGTTTTCCTGTTTTATTTGAGTCAGCCAACCAGCAAAAGTGTACGTTCTTGAGCAGTAGTTCTCAACCTTCCTAATGCCGCCAGTTCTTTATGTTGATGTGACCCTAAAGCAAAAAAAAATATTTTTGTTGCTACTTCATAAATATTTGTTTTTCCATGTTCTTAGGCTGATCCTGTTTAATGGTCTTTCGACACCCAAAGGTGTCGCGAACCATAGGTTGAGAACCTCTGTACTAAAGTTTTAAGAAGTATTCCTTTTAAAGTTTAAACTTGAAGTCATAAAACAAGCATACTTATAAAAACATGTTATTAGACTAAATTTCTTCATGTAAAATGGTTATCTTTCTTAGAGTGCATGAACGTGTAAAATGTATACATTTTAACAAATTAAAATAAAAAAAAAATTATTTTTAAAAGGTTAATAAGTAAATGCACCATATGAAACCTAATTGATATCTTTATATATTGTTATTATATATTTATACATGTTCTCTATTTGTTGGTATGTTGTTTAGACTTTAAAAAAAAACTATTATGCCATAATTTTACTCTACTGCCATTAATTTCTATATTAAACGTATGTCTCTACCAGGTAGCAAATAGCTTGATCTATACATTTTATATGCAATCATTGTTGTTTTTTTATTAAAAAACGATACAAGAAAAAAAAAGGTGAAAGATTATGACTATGAACATTGCCCACTACACTTTCAGCAAGGGCTTCGATACCTTCATAATTTTGTTGTAACAAATCGGGAACACCCCCCCCCCCCACTCCTGATTCATGATCTCATAATGGATGGCCTTTAAAATATTAACCAGACGTACCGACACTTGTGTTAGTCTTTTATTAAAAAAAGATAAAAGAAAAAAAAAGGTGAAAGATTATGACTATGAACATTGCCCACTACACTTTCAGCAAGGGCTTCGATACCTTCATAATTTTGTTGTAACAAATCGGGAACACCCCCCCCCCCACTCCTGATTCATGATCTCATAATGGATGGCCTTTAAAATATTAACCAGACGTACCGACACTTGTGTTAGTCATATATATATATATATTTTTAATATAATAAAGGCAATGTTTCCAACACTGTTTTTCAAAGAAAATGACAACTTACTTTACTCTTACAATTCTACTTACTACTTTTGATGACTTTAGGCAATAAAATTAAAAGTTAATGCATAAGTATCGAGTTTCAATAATATTTACTTTTTTCTAGAAATCATGTCAATAAAACATTCAAATACTGAAAAGCATATAATTTATTTTTTAAACTTTTAATTATAACTTTGACTTTCAAAATTGTGCTTCGTTTTTTTTTTTTTTTAAAAAAGGACGTTTACATTTCCATGTTGTGTAATTACTATTGAAGCTTCATCAGAGCAGTCAGGCTCGGTTAGGTCAATGAGGGCATAGTCAAAAGCGTGAGTCTTGAAAACCAGGCTACACAAACCTTAGCGACGCTACTTACTTTAACATCTTGTAAATTCCCTACGCTCTACATAATTCATCCTTTAAGTACAACGGCCTGGGATGTTGGCAAAATTGGCAATGAGTAGATCTAACTTGAAAGAAAACTAGAGTTTAGCTAATGATCAGATTTAATTTTAAAAAATAAGTAGAGACTATTCAATTTAAAAGAAAAAAAAAATTGGATTAACATAATTTCAAATCAATTAAAATGAATTATTTCTGCCAAAAGCTTATTGGATACTGATGACTTTGGTGCCAGCACTGACAGAAGCCTTTGTCCTTTTCAACAATTCCAGTGTCGAATTTCATCTTATAGAAACTTTCACACACATTGTGAGAGTCGATAAACATCTTGCTTTGATCCGCCAGATGTTGGCGATAAAAGAAACAAATAAATAAAACAAAACTGCGGTTACAAATTGGACTTTATTGGGAGGTTTCCGTCAAGTCATTAATACAATGTAGTCAAACATATTCACAGTCGAACCGAAAATGACGTTTATTTGATGTGTGGTTCAAAATAAATAAAATTTCATGAAAACAAAGACATTCAATGATATAACTTAGATTCGCCCTGGTTAATACGACGAGGGCCATCCCCAGCAACTCATTGCCTTCTATACATTGAACAATATATATATATATATATATATATATATATATATATATATATTTATATATATATATATATATATATATTATTTCATGAAAACAAAGACATTCAATGATATAACTTAGATTCGCCCTGGTTAATACGACGAGGGCCATCCCCAGCAACTCATTGCCTTCTATACATAGAACAATATATATATATATATATATATATATATATATATATATATTTATATATACATATATATATATATATTAAATTACATTTAATATCAATTCTATTGTATTATTCAAGTAAAGGAGCGTCATCTTTTCAAGTACTTATTAGTGCGTTCGGTAAATATGTCGAAAAATATGTCGGC